TGGAAACTTGAGGAGGAAGAAAGCAGCATTCTGTGTGTGAGAAATTGATCTTTAGCTTTAAAATTGAAAACAGCTCTTCCTGGACTTAGGTAATACTTGAGCAGTTATCTTTGGTGTGATTATAATACATTGATTAGGCAGTCAGTTCAGACACTACTTGCTTGTAGGAGACTCCTAGTGATTTAATTGGGGAAGGGAGTGTGAACAAGTTTTCTCCCTTGCTTTCCACTGAACATCTTACCACAAGCTTTAGGAATACATTAGCTTCTCCTCTGCCACCTATTTGGTATTGTGTTTGGTATGGTGTTCCTTTTCTTTTAATCTTTACATACTGTTTTCCCCAGAGGTATAAAAATAAATGGAAAGTAATGGAAGGCACTATTGCTTTCCTTTGAGAAAGAAAAAAATATTGAACCTATATTTGTAAAGTAGTTGGTATGTAGTAGAAAGTGCTTTTTAGTGAGGGAAGTTAGTAATCCAGTTGTTAGTGCTTTTGTTGGTTGCAGATGATAGAAATTCATTTCCAATTAATTTAAGTATTCCTTTGGTAAAGTGGGATAATTTATTGGAATCATAAGAAAGGTATAGGGTAGAGCAGGGGTATAATATAGGTGGCTCTAAGAGCGTACAGGACCTGAGGCTCAAAGATAAATCAGATTCTCCCTCTCTTGCCTCTTGACTGCTTTCCTCCTCTTTGCAGACTGTTTTCTACCTGGCTAACTCCTGATTGTCACATTAGTTTTAACCACTTGGAATGGTTAACACTTGTCACTCTCTCTAAGTTTGGATATCTGGCAGAAAGAGCTTTTAGGTGTGGCACCCTCTCACAGAAACTGTATCCCACTACATAGGAACAAGAACAGTTCACAGAGGGGAGTAGAGCATGTAGAAAGTGTTGGCTATCTGAGAAGAAGGATCCATCAAGGGACATATTTGTATTGGGCACACAGAGTAAGACATTATTCTTTACCCATTTGTTTTACCCACGATGACTAAATTTGAAGCTGTTTTACTTTTGAGAAAGGTTTTCAAACACTTTCACTCAAGAGGGAGTAGGAAAATTTTGTTTAAAGTGTCCTAGAGATTGAAATAATAAATGGGGTGTACCAGTAACACATTCTCTTTCTCTGTGTGTATGTATATTTATATATTATTTTAGATATTGTTTCAGAGTTTTAGTCTGTAATTTCCTTTGAAATACGATAATGTTCTATCTGCATTTACCAAGTTTTGGGCTTGTTGCTAACCCTCACTGTAACCTCTTCCATTCTTCTCTCCGGTTAACCATTCTTTCACCCATCTAGCCACCTGACAAATATAGGTAATTACTGTGTGTCAGGTATTATTCTGAGCCTCAAAGACTCAACAGTGAGTAGACAAAATTCCTAGTCTTATGGAACTTTCTTCTGATGTTTCTTGTTTTCAATCTGTTGTCTTTCTTTTCTTTTTTCTTTTTTTTTTAATGTTTTAAGAAAGTCATTTTTATTCCTTGCTGTTAATTCCAATATATGAGTCATCCCTGGGTCAGTTTCTGGTATCTTTTTATTATCAGTCAGTTTTACTTACTTCATATGTGTAGTATATTGATACCACACATTGTGGGTGATGTTTGTAGAGTAAATGTTATCTTCCTCTTAAGAGTGCTGAGTTTGACAGTTAAAATACTGGCAGATCATCTTGATCTAGGCTTAGTTAGGCTTTATTACACTGGATCTGTTTTAGTCTCACCCACAATGACTAGATTATGGTCCTTACTACCAAGGCTAGTCTTTCTGGGGCCCCACCCGAAAGCCCTGGGTATTCACCAACATTACGATATTCTTTCTAGGTCCAAACTGCAACCTATCTCCCCAGTACTGTGTGGCTTTTGAAATCTTTGCTTGGAGCATCTGCTTGGCTTCCTAGAATTGTGCCCTGCATATATGCGGGGCACATATTTGGCATTGGCCAAGGACCTAAGGGAATTTTTAAATGTGTATTTTTAGGGTAGCTTCACTATAGTTAAACTCCAATCCTGGATCCTCCTCAAATTCCAGTCCTTTGGCTCTAACTCATCTCCTCAGCCTAGTAAAGTGCTGCCTTCTGCTTCGGCTTTATATTCCTACACTCCACTTTAGAAAATACCCTCATAAAGGAAGCTGGGATGAATGCAGGTCTCACCTTGTCGCATTTCCCAATTCTTGAAAATACAGCTTTCTGTTCTTTTTGTTTAGTATCTGTAAACTGTTTTTTTGTTTTGTTTTGTTTAACTTTGCAATTGTTAATAGCTGGAGAGTAATCCAATGCCGGCTACTCCATCATAGCTGGATCAGAAATCCATGTTTCCATGAGAATTTTTAAGAGAGTCTTAAAATTAAGTCTATTTATTGTAAATCCTAAATGTCAGAAAGTAGTTGAATGTGAGATTGTAATATCATGCTCCATATCTTGTAATATCATGTAATATCATGCTCCATACTGAAATGATAGTGTATCACGACTTCATAAGGAATTGACACATTCCTCCTACCTCTTTCCCTTTCCCTTTGGTATTCACCATTTTGTTCTCAGATTCTGGCATTTTATTACTTTGTTTGCCTTGTTTATTTATATTCTACTATGAGTGAAACAATCTGTATTTGTCTTTCACTTTCTAATAGCATAATTATCTGGGTCTATCCATGTTGTCAAAAAGGCATGACAACAAGGCATGTTTCATCTTTTTATAAACAGCTGAGTTACTATCCATGCCACAACTTCTTCAGTCATTGGCCAGTGGGCATTTAGATTGTTTTCTGTGTCTTGGCTATTGTATATAGTGCCACAATAAATGTATCTTTTTATTAAAGTTTTTCATATTCTTCAAATAGGTAGGAGTAGAGTTGTGGAATCGTATGATATTTCTATTTTTTAACTTTTTGAGGAAAATATGTTTTCATTAGAGACTGTACCAATTCACATTCCCCATTCCCACCAACTGTGTATAAGAGTTCTTTTTTTTCTCCACAACCTTGCCAATACTTATTTCCAATCTTATGGATAGTAATAGTTATTCTTACAATCTAAAATTGCTTATTGTAAAGTGGCTTTGAATTATTGGATGGGGTTTTTTTGGGCAGATTTATTTTTAGCTTTCTATTTTCCTAATCAGAAGTGATGTTGAACATTTTTTGCATTGGCCATTATTATATTTTCAAAGAACTGTTTATCCAGATCTTCCCCTTTTTTTATTGGATTATTTTTTCTGTTGTTGAGTTGTATGAGTTCTTTATGTATTTTGAGTAATAATCCCTGTTGGATGTATGATATGCAAATATCTTCTCCAAATACGTAGGTTGCCTTTTTGTTTTGGGGATTTCTTTTACTGTACGGAAGTGTTGCAGTTTGACGTAGTCGTATTTGCTTTTTTTTTTTTTTTTTTTTTTTTTTTGGCTTTTGTTTCCCTTGCCGTTGGAGTTGAGTCTCCCCAAACATCTCTGAGGTTGATGTCAGTGAACATATTGTCTATGTCTATATAATCTGTGGTTTCAAGTCTTATATACAAGTCTTTAATCCATTTTTAAAAAGATTTATTTACTTATTGAAGATTTATTTTATTTATGCATACAAGAATTGTGGTATAGGCCAGAGGTACAGGGAGGGAGAGAATTCACCAGAGACAATGGGGAGCAGAACAGGATGGTCTCCTGAAATACACTACTGAGGGCAACAGTGTGCAAGTAGGAGAGGTCTGCTGCACCATGTGGGTTAGCTCCCTGGCTGGGGATCCAACTCAGACCCTAGCAGTGATAGTACTTAACCCCTTGGCCACCAGGGAGGCACTGTGCGTTGTTTTAAATAGTGATCTTTTTCTTTGGAAAAAAATAGTGATTTTTTTTTTCTTGCCCATGGCTGTTCAGTTTTCCTAACACCATTTGTTTCCTTTCTCCATTGTATGCTCTTGGCTTCTTTGTCATTAATTAACTGTCCATATTTATATGGGTTTATTTTGGGGTTCTCAAGTCTGTTCCATTGGTGTGTGTTTCTCTTTTTAGTCCATATTGTTTTGATTACTATCACTTTGTAGTATAGTTCAGAGCGAAGAGTGTGTAATACTTCCATTTTTCTTTTCTTCAGGATTTCTTTGGCTTTTTGAGTCTTTTGTGGCTCCATACACATTTTAGTATTTTGTTCTGTTTCCTTGAAAAATAACCTTTAGGATTTTGATAGGCATTGCATAGATTCTCTGTATTGTTTTGGGTAAGATGCCCATTTTAACAGTGCACTTCTTCCAATCTGTGAACACAAAATATTTTCAATTTCTTTGTATTTTCCAGTTCTTTTAACACTGTCTTACACAGTATTGTCTTATACCCCCTTTATTAAGTTTACTCCCCAGTATTTTATTCTTTCTGATGCAGTTGTAAATGGAATTGTTTTCTTAATCTCTTCCTGTTACTTGTTTGCATATAGAAATGCAACTGATTTTGTTTATTGATTTTGTATTCTGCCACTTTACTGTATTTATTTATTCTAGTAGTTTTTTTAATGGGATCTTTTGGATTTTTGATGTATTTTATGACATTTGTGAATGGTGATAGTTTTACCATTCAAATAGAAGGAGTTGATATGAGAGAAGCTTGAATTTTACTATGTGATAAATAATTTTCCGATTATTACACTTTTTTAAATCATACAAACTAGTGAAGGAGGCTTGTTGCAAATTGACAAATACAAATTAGATCAATATTTTTAAATGACATTCTATGACTGTAACTATTGTTTAATTTGTAAAGAACAGAAGAATTTGGGTCACTGGAGTTGAATGCCTGGTGTTAACTTCAAGATGGTTTATTAATAGAGTTGAGAGAAATTGTCAGTCCTTTCAGAGATTACAGTTCAAGGAGCTTACTCATTACTTAAGTTATAGATAGAGCTGTGATTTTTTGATGTATGGCAACAAACAGCATTACTTCTTGACTTTTTTTTAAAAGGTTTTTTTTTTTCCTAATTCGGGGAACTTAGTAATGTTTGTCTTCTAGGCCCATCAACAGAGCAGACGAGCAGATCGTTTATTAGCTTCAGGGAAATACGAAGAGGCTATTTCTTGCCACAAAAAGGCTGCAGGTGAGTATTTTTTGTAAGAAACACTGAATCAGAAACTGGAGGTGAATTTCTTTTCTCCAATATCTTCCAATATACTTTATTTAGAATGAAAGTCTTGCTAGTCATGATGTGTTGTTGCCTTGCATATACAAGGTTGTACTGACCTACTGGAATATTAGCTTGCATTACTCTCCAAGTGAATTTGTGGATTCCCAGTTTCTCCTATCCTGATCTTTCTAAATCATGACTATAGGATGTACTATATATTGTTAATTGATTTTTGTACACAGCTTTTTGAGCTTGAAGATATCTACAGATAGAAGCTGATTGCAAAATGACAGCCATTTCGTCTTAGTTATTTTAGAAAAGGTATTCTGGATTTCAGGTTTCATTTTGGGTTCTGAAACTATTAAGTAATTTAATTCTAACCGATTCTTTTTCACTGAATTTCTAATGTTAGGAACACTTTCAGAAAAGAAGCTAAAGAAAGATCATAGGAAAGATTTTAGATAGGTTTGTATTACTATCTTAGTATCATACTGAAGATAGTATTCTTTTAGCTATGACATTTAGAATTATTGGCTGCTTATCAAAGTCCTAATTTTATGCCAACTAGTCATTCATACAAACTGGCATATGTTGACCAGAGAAATAGAGCTTCAGGATCGTTTGTAAGTAGACTAATTTGTTTGCCAGCAAACCTAAAAGTTCTCAGGAAAGGGTTTACACTATATCCAAAATGAATGTTGGTCACCTTTCATTGAGCAAGTCCTGTAGTCTTTCTCCTAAGGCAAGGCGCTTTTCTTTCCATCCAGGCCAGTAAGCTGATCAAAGCCGATGTTCTTTCCTGACCGTCTGTTGCTCCTCTGAAATGCAGACCACACAGTGGATAAGTCCTCTATGTCAGTGATTTTTGCTTTTAAGTCAGTAATTTTTAGAGAAAATTTTAAGTCTCACATTAAAGAATTTCACTGAAGTATACCTCTTCAACTGTAGGGCTGCATGTATGTACTCCATAATCTACGTGTATTTTTATGGTGGTTTTATACGACATTTAACTTGGGAGCTAATGCTCTTTAAATCTTTTGTTAATCATGTGTTATTATGTATCAAATTGTTGAATTTGTAGTCACTATAAAGACAATTTCTGCACTATTTATGAAAGCCCTGTTATAGATGAAAATTACAGTGAAATGATACTTAATCCAGAGTGTTCATGGTTACTCATATGTAACCTGTGTTACAACAGTGATCAGTATAATTGGTGTGCAGAGTAGAAAGATATTCTGAATATATAAAAAGGCAAAAAGTTTCTTTCATTCCTAATCTATATCCTGTCTTTATTTGAAGACTTAAAAGTTAATGTTGTTTTTAACCACAACCCACTCCCGCCCTCCCAGGATTTAGCATTATTAGGAAAACTTTTCTCTTTACAGCAGGTATAATTAGATTGGTGTAATTCTCTTTGATTCAGTCTCTTACAGTCCTGTTTCCGAAGTGGATATCATTTCTTTCAGGACAGCTAAAAGAGCAATAACTTAACTGGGGAAGTTGTTACCAGCCATTGACAATGATTAGAATGCAAAATTTTCAGAAGATGAGCTGCCCTCTGAGAACAAATTTTAACTAGAGCTTCCCATGAAATTATAGTGATATGAAAATGATTCCGAGCACATCACTTTTTGTTATTCTGAGGCAATATTTGGTATGTATGTACAGACAGGCTGTATAATTTGTACTTTGCTACTAGTTTAACAGATTCATGAGACACTAGTAATAGATTTTTTTTTTTTAAGAAGTAATAGATTCTTTAGATTGTTAGTCCTCCCCCAATCATTATCTACTTTAAATTTTAGCCTGTGCCATAATTAAATGAAGTTAATTTTGACCAGAATTGTTAGATTTTTTTTTTTTTAAAGATTTATTTTACTTTATTTATTTATTTATACAAGTACTGGGTACAGTCAGAAGCGCGGGAGGGTGAGAGAATTCACCAAAGCTAGAGCAGGGAGCAGAACAGGCAGAAGGACCGAAGTACACTGCTGAGGGGAGCAGCGGGCGGCAGGAGAGGTCTGCGCGCCATGCGGGACCCTCCTCCGTTGGCCAGGGAGCAGCTGGGGATCGAACCGGTGCTGCAGAGGCCGCAGGCAGCTTCGCAACCCAGCACTCAACTGCTGCGCCACCGGGGAGGCCCCAGAATTGTTAGATTTTTGGGGGATAAGTATGACTTTTCTAATTGATCCTATTGTAAATTTGTGAAGCAAGTCCACGTGTATGTAATCAGACTAATAATTTTTTTCTTTTAAAACAATTTTTTTTAAAGGCCCAGGTTTTAACTTCAGATGTGGGAAATACTTTCAATGGCAGCATGTGGCTCTTGTTGAGTTCTTTGTCCTTTGGGAACTTACTATCCTTGGATATCCTCTTTTGTCATGTTAGTTTCAAGGTTCTACAAAGGGAGGCATTCCAGCTGGTTTAAGCTTGGTTTTGTGAAACTGTTCTATTTGTTAAGAAACTGGACTTGAGCAAACTATAGTTCTGCAAACAACTGTACACACAATAGGAAGAATGTCTAGGAAAATTCATCCAAGCTGTATCAGAGCTAATAATGTCTCAACAGAATTAAATGTGTATAGAAGGAAAAGAAGTAGCCTATATGCAGCCATACAGACTTAATAAAAGACAAGAAAAAGATGAGGGGGGAAAAAATGTAAGTTTGGCTGGAGCAAAGGCTATCCATCAGGTTTTCTGTTGGGGAGGGAGCATGCATTTAATCTGGTAAAGGACTATGATAGAATCTGGCAGACAATAGTTCTGAGTCATGAATTCAGAAAATCATTTAAATATTTGGACTAAGGTTAGACAGAAAGCAGTGTCTTCTGGTATCTGCAAAAAGGAACCTAAGGCACGAATAAGAGATGCTGAAAAGCTTTTAGTGAACTAATTGTACGTGTTAATATAACTTGTTATTTATGCCCCTCTTATTCTAGTCAGGATATAAAATACCTTGCAGAGGAGTACAATAAAATATATAATTTAATATATGTAGATAAAGAATACCATGGAAAGGTGAAATGGGAAAAGATTGGGAATATAGTTGACAAAATATACCATGAGTTCTTACATGTTCAATAAAAGAAAGATGTTGCCTTAAGCTTTCTAGCAATCAACTCAGGGAGGAAAATTTTGGATGTTTACAGTGATCACTTAATTCAAATAGATTAATTACCCGAGAACTCATACTACAATCAGAGTCTATTTAGTTATTGGCCATTTGTGGTCTTAATAATATATTGTCCTTAACTTAATTATAATTTATATGTCATATAAGTACTTAGGACTTTTAACTACCTAATGGTGGTTGGCTGATAATGTAGCTCAGAAATAATTCAATAAAAGCACTTCTATAGAAGGCCAAAATAATATAGTTTATGTATTTTTATGGATTAAAAACTCATTAATAATTAATAATCTCTTGATATTTTGTGAGCGCATAATGATAATGGGGTTTTGATAGTTTCTTGTTTAATTTTAATTCTCTTGGCCCATTTTTCTGATTAATTGTAAAATCAGATTTGATTACCACTGATACCTTTTTTTGGATAAGTTAGGAATCCTGTCCTTTTTTTAAAAAAAAAAAAAACTCTTTACCTTCTTTTCAGGAACAGGATAATTGTGCAGCAGAATTGCTTATAAGACCAGTTCTCTTTGTCATATGAAGAGTATTGAAACTCTTCCTCTAACCTGTTAATTACAAAAATGACACTCAGATTTTTTTTTTTTTTTTTTTTTTTAACTAGCATATCTTTCTGAAGCCATGAAGCTGACCCAGTCTGAGCAGGTGAGATACTTCCTCAACATCTGCAACAAGGGTTAGAAATATTTCCTTGTGAATACTTAAATCAGGTATCAAATTAAGCATGGTGCCTCTCTCAAAGCACTAATCAGAAATAACAGCAGTTCCTCCAATTATGTCATTTTGTTACAACTCTGGTACAAAAGAAAAATGATTCCAGTCAGGGCCATTTTCTGTGTGGAATTTGCATGTTCTCCTGTGTCTGCCTGGGTCTTCTCCAGGTACTTCAGTTTCCTTTCATATCCCAAATACATGCACACTAAGTTCATTCATCTATCTAAACTGTCCCAGTCTGAGTGAGTGTGTGTGTGTTGAGGGGTGGGGAGAGGGTGTCCTGTGATGGAAGGATATACTGCCGGGATGTGTATGGCCCCCTGCAACCCTAAACTGGAATAAACAGGTTGGAAAATGAATGAGCACAACTTATTATTTATTATTAGAAGTGTTTTAGGCCTTAATTTAGAAGTTTGGTGATGTTTTTGTGACCAGAAATATGTGTAGGAACTTGTTTATATCAATTACCTAGAGGTAAAATAGGTTTCATTTCACACACACACAAACATACACACTTCACCTAAAGTCACAGTTTCTGAGAATCTGTCAATAACCTCAGGTTAGGTCATACTGTATATTAAATGGGCAAGAGTACTCTTAAGAATGGAAACTAAAACTAAAGAACCATTCCTGGCATGGCAGGCAGAAATCTCTTTTCTCTAGTGGTTACACACAGACTTTAGATTGCTAAAAATGAAACCCCTTTGGAGAACCCATTTAGAGAGTGGGCCTTTCCTGGTCATTAGCTTAGTTGACTGTTAGTTCACAGTAGTTAAACCAGCCTGGCCAAATGGAGATCATTTGGACTTCCCTTTCCTTGTCAAAGATAATGTAAGTTGGAAGAGCCCCCCGCTGCCTTTTCCTGATTTCCTAAGCAAAATTTGTTTCCTTGGTGACTTAATTGTCCTCTTTGTTTGGGAAGGGCCTGTTTAGGATTTAAATTTTTCTTTATCCAAAGATGGTTTCTCATTATGAAGGTACAAGTATGTTGGAGGTACTTGGTAAATATGTGTCTAGCTGAATTAGCAAATGTTTCCATGAAGGGCTATGAGTGGCAAGGGGGGAAAAGACCCTTCTAGAGGTTGTATTCCACCCCTTCGCACTGAATTCTGACTGCAGTACTTCTCGTCAGACATGTAATATGGGTGTTTGTTGAACCTTCTGAACACCCTGTTGACAGAAAGACTAGTTGCAGAAGTAATGTTTCAAGAGGCAAGTCTTCTTGTTTTCCGCCGAGTACGGTAGCATTACAGAGGGGTAAGGCACATTCAAAACTGAGGCGATTCACCATGTTGATCTGGATTAGGACTTCTGACTTCCTGAATGGTGTATTGTTTATAAATGAATGTTTTAGCTGATCTAGAAAGAGTTAGGTAATTTGAAATTTTTTTGAGGGGCTATTGAATTGCAAACATAGTGTATTAATTTTAAGTTTATTGGATTACTTAGAAAGGAGGATCTGAGAATAATATTTACTGGACATTAGAAGAGAGTCTTGAAAGTTAAATTGTACCTTTCCTTCTGTATAATAGGCTCATTTATCACTGGAACTGCAAAGGGATAGTCACATGAAACAGCTCCTCCTCATCCAGGAGAGGTGGAAGAGGGCACAGCGGGAGGAAAGACTGAAAGCCCAGCAGAGCACAGACAAGGATGCAGCCGCCCAGCTCCAGGCAGCCCACAAACCCTCTGCTGAGGATGCAGAGGGCCAGAGTTCCCTTCTTTCTCAGAAGTACAACCCTTCCGCAGAGAAGCATCTGCCTGAAATTCAGAGGGTCTTTGACAGGGATCCAGACACACTACTATTTTTACTTCAGCAGAAGAGTGAGCCAACAGAGACATGCATTGGAAGCAAAGCCCCAAAAGATGATAAAACCATTATAGAGGAGCAGGCAACCAAAATTGCTGATTTGAAGAGGCATGTGGAATTCCTTGCTGCAGAGAATGAAAGATTAAGGAAAGAAAACAAACAACTAAGGGCAGAAAAGTCCAGACTTCTAAAAGGTCCAGTAGAAAAGGAGCTGGATGTAGATGCTGATTTTGTAGAAAAGTCAGAGTTATGGAGCTTGCCACCACACTCAGAAACTGCTACAGCCTCCTCAACCTGGCAGAAATTTGCAGCAAATACTGGGAAAGCCAAGGATATTCCAATACCCAATCTTCCTCCCTTGGATTTTCCATCTCCAGAACTTCCCCTTATGGAGCTCTCTGAGGATATCCTGAAAGGACTTATGAATAATTGAAATGGAAGCCCATAGAAGAACTAAGAAGAAGAAAATACAACAGTACCGTTAATCCAGAAGGAAAATCAAAAAGGGAAAACCACTGCAAGGGTAATCCCGGAGATGCTTCGTTGTCTGGCTTACTGTGGAGAAGAGGCATTGCCAGGACTCGGAAAACAGTCACTGTGAAATATGTCGCATATCTTGATTTACTGACTAATGATTCCAGACTTGGCAGACACTAAACTTTTGGAGGTTCACTTTCTCCTGATACAAACCAAATGACTTTGTTGCTTTTCAAGCAACGATTGTTTTTCTTATCTTCAGGGTTAAAATGCGTAAAAGTATGTTCTGTGTAATTAATCTATAATGCCATAAATGATAATGCAAAACCTAAATAATATGGTGGCCCGAGAAGCTGCCTTGTATTTGAAACCTGCTTTCTATCATGCATTGACTGTATGCATTTTGTTATGCACATTTTGTTTAATGAGGTGTGCACAACACACCTTTCTAGATGAAACTCTGTGTGCCACACTTTGCACTACTCATAACATAATGATAACCTCAAGACTATCAGGAGAAATATTTAAGTTTCCATTTATGAAGAAAGGAACCAAATTATTAGTTATGCTTTTTTTAAAAAAAAATTACCAGTTTACATAATTAATCAGGGTGCATTTTAAGTTCTAACTTTGTTTATTATATAATGCATCATTTGAAAATTTCAAGGAAATATCCTTTTTTTAAATGATGCCTGAGTGGAAGTAATGCTAGTTGGAAGTGTTTGATTGTAAGAAATCAATAAAGTAATTTGTGTTTTAAGTCTGTTGAATGTGGTTGGTAGTTACAAAGCAAGTTTTGTGGCTGTTGTGTTGTAAATTTTGAATATGAGGTTGAACAGATTAACTCAGATTTAGTGTTACAGATTTTCTTCAGTAGTTTAGTTAGCTTTCCCTAGAACTAGAGTGAAAGAGAACAGTTTCTTGAAGTTTCAATATGCCTCCCACCACATATAATGTAGTAGCCATCCCGAAAGAGTACAGAGGGTAGGAAACACTGCTTGGCGGTCTCTGTGCAGAGCCCAGTGCCCTTCCAGTGGTGGGACAGGGAAGAGGAGGATGCAAGTGGAACATCTGGGTAAAGGCTACTGTGTGTGGTTAAAGCATGGGTTTCATTTACTGCGTGGAATTGTGGGAGTGCACCACTCTGCCTCCCCTGGGGGACCAGGGACAATTTGGGTTGAGAGGGTAGGTTTAAGCTTAACTGTCTAGTAATGAGGCTAGCAGAAGTAAGATGAGATGATGTGACTAGTCACATTTCACCCATCTCATCTCAGCACAGAGGAAACCAAAAATATTCTAGTTTCTTGAAAGAGTTCTCTAAGTCAAGTCAGTGTCCATCTGTGTTGCATCCCAGACTCAGAATATTTGCTTCCTTAACCTTCCTTAATAAAACCTCAGATTTAAAAATTTGTTCAAAAGTAAACTATTAACCTAGCCCTTTCTAACAAAGGAGCTTTGTTATATTTTGACACAAATGTTTTGTAAATCACTCTACTTTGCCACTACCACCTTCTCCAGCCTTTCCATCCTGTGACTAAGAGCAGTTCAACATGTTTTTTACAGAACCTGTTCCATACATTTCCTGATCAAGTGCATGTTAAGTGACTAATGTTATTTTAGAAGTACTAATTTGTGCTATTTAGTACCCTTGTTTAATCTGATTCTTAAGTTTTGTGTGAGCCTTTACTTGAACATACCTGCCTTTTGACCAAGATTACACCATACCATTGCAACATGTTAGTACAGTCTCTTCCAGAGTAGATAAAACAAAAAATACTTTCTTCAACTGTAAGAACTAGCCGCTGGGCGCATAGACCATGTCCTAACTGGGGTTTTTAGATGTTCTTGTATCTTCTTTAGCTCAAGGCACCAAAAGGATTTAAAAGCTTGCTTTCACTAACAAGGTTTTGTGCATGTGCAGGAAATTTAGGTGCTCTTGTCCTTTCTTACTGAGTGGTGACCTTTTGCTGCTGAATCCAGATAACTAGGTGGTAGTAAAATGCCAGAAAACCTGGTCCTGAGTTCTTATTTTCAGCTTTTCACAGAATTCACTTCTTTCAGAAGATAAGTGTATGTAGTTAAGAATCTTAGTTACGCTGCTATACTACACAAGTAATCATCAGCTGGAAATCATACAGATGAAATAGGAAGAAGACATTTCCAAAATAATCTCAAAGCCATTGTCTATCACTGGTATACTATCAAGGTTATCAAAATAATGAGAATATTTCATCACTAGGTAAGTCTATTCAAAATGTTAAATACATTATCTCCTTGCTTTGAACAACTCTAGATGCTTTTTTGTTTTTACATTGGATGTCATAATTTTTAGGGCCATTAAGACCTATTTATGAAGGAACAAATTGAGGCCCAAAGATAGAATTATGTGAAAATGTACACAAGATGGGGAGCAGAGCAAAGCAAAAAAGGTCTTTCCTAGGAGTCGGGCTATTTTTACTTGCCAAACTGGTGGCTGAGTTGTCATTTCCTTACTGTCAATTTCTTTGAATGGCACACAATGTACCACTGTTATTCTGCTTCCCATGAAGTTGGGAGATCTGGTGAAAATTGAGTTTGTCCTTAACACTCAGTTGTAAAAAGCCTAATGTCTATTTTCTGTGCTTTTTTCATTTACGGGGCTACGTGTGATGCAGTCTGCCATAGGGTGTTTCTATACTCAAGAGTCAAGACAAACTACTAATAGACTATATATATAAAGATCAGAAGTGATCTTTATCATAATCCCATCGTGGCCTAATTGGAAACCTCTGCAGAAGCAAGTGACATGACTGCTTAAGAGTACTTTCAAGTTGTTTGTTTTTGTAGCCAGTCCTATTAAGTCACTGCGGACCAACAGTGCCATCTAGTGGATGGGGATAAACTGGTTCTTGTTTATCAAATGGGGTGTGGTGGACTATGGTTAACAAAAATTTAGTTGGTAACTAGTAAAACGTACTTTAAATACGCTGTTTAGTAAACATTCTCATTTGCATAGCTTATAAATATGTATAGAGGAAAAAACAGTGTAATCCAAATACAAGTACCAGATATTTAACAAAAACCACCTTTCCTTTGGTCACCGTAACTAAAGAATAGTATAACCTTCATGGACGAATTACCGGGATCAGAGGATGTCTGGAACTTGGACAGAATCAGATCATGCTAAAATATGAAGAAATCTGGGAGAGGCACATGTGAATTGTCCTAACAAAAGTAAGTAACAGCATTTCCTATCTGTGGTTATGCAATGCTAATTCTATTTGTTGGGTCATAAAGCTATTAGAAACAGTTGAAATATTGAGACAATTTTCACTGAAAAAACAGTCACCTGTCTTACCTTTTAAAATATCAGCTGAGGGTAGTGGCTCCTAACTTGTTGAACACCACAGAAAATATTCAACACCAGGAACAACACTAGGTATCCACAGAAGTGAAATTCTGACAACAGATTTAAAACTGCTAACAGTTGGGAAGATGTAATTGTAATACTTAGAACAAAATGCAGACTCCTAGGTAGCCTAAGTGAAGCAGTCTATGCTGGACCAAAATGTCCTGCATAGTTCCTCAAAAGTTCCAATGACCAGGAATTTCAATGAACAGCTATTTCCCACAGCTACAATTTCTAGAACTTGTACATTTCTTTTAAAACACAACAGTGTCTTGGGCTCAATCTAAATGGCTTTAATTGCTGCTTTCATTTCTCTGGAATGGAATGTGAGATACACATCTCATGATAGTAGATGTGCCAACTTCCTAATATCCTATTTTTTCTGATCTTGTGGCTTGATGGGCTTTAGAAAGCTTTGATTATAAGAATCTTGTCCAGCTCTAGAATTGTTTTGAAATCACAAATTTGATTATCAGGAAATAATTTTAGTATAATGTGAATATTGTGCTAAGGGGCATTTCACGTGCAAGAGAAACAAAATGACGCCTCTTAAACCAGGAAGCAGAACACACAAAATACTTGCCAACACCACAGACACTTGCCAGCTACCTTTCTTCTTGGTAACCAAATATCCACTAGCCACAAATGTCCGCCTCTAGTGTTAAGAGTTTTCCCTCTGATTTCAGATAACCTGCCTTTCACCACCTCACAATCTCTCAAACTACAACCCTTCTAATGCCCACTTCTACTTCCAAAGCAAACTCCACGTCTTTCCAAAGTGCCATATTTGTGGTTTCTATTCGAAATAGTTGAAACTGCTACTATTTTATTTCAGTGTATCACTGATAGTTTTTGAATGTTATGCCCGAAACCCATTTTTCCCCTCTTTAATTAAGTCTTAGAGTTTTTACTGGGCTTTGCACAGTGCAGTAATTTTTATGGACTAATGAAAATCAATCTCCTTTCTCAGAAGGTTGTAGGCTGGCTTTCCCCCCACATCTGCAATGTTAAAAAATTAATTGAAAGTATTTGTTTCCATGGCCTCCCTGGTGGTTAAGATGCAACCTGTGAAGCTTCCATAGCCTCTGCAGCACGAGTTCAATCCCCGGCTGGTCAGGGAGATACCCACATGGCACAGCAGACCTCTTCTGACTCGCCCGCTGCTCCGTCAGCAGTGTATTTCAGTCAATCTGCCTGTTCTGTTCCCCACTCTGTCTCTGGTGGGTCCTCTCATCCCTGCACCTCTGGCCTGTACCCCAGTTCTTGTAGGCATAAGTGAATAAATCTTTAAAAAAAAAAGTATTTGTTTCCATAAAACGAGTAAATTATTTAAAAATCTTGGTGAAAAGGTACCACATGTGCCACAGGTGGATTACCCATTTCCCAAGAACTAGAGGACAAAATAAATAGGTTAGCTAAAATTTCAGTTACCTGATTATGAAAAGCACCTCAGATCATCAGAGTGTCTGGTGTGCAAATAATTTGTACTTTAGAAATGGAGAAGAGACTACACTTCCATGGCTGTGACATAACCTGGAAGATGGCTTTTGGATTAAATCCTTGAGAGGGATTTGTCCACGTCACATTCCTTTCCTACAAAGGCAGTTCCAGAAGTTGTTTTTTTTTGTCACCTGCAGAAGTCCTGTAGAACAAGTTGAAGAGTTAATTTTTGTACTTCACATTTGAACACGTTACGTCACAAACAGCTAATATATACATGGATATGTCCACTTTGCTGTCCTCTTTTATTATGTTTGTTGAAGGGTTGTGTAAGTACTACCTCTTCTGCCTTGACCCAAGGCAACATGTATTATGCTCTTTTAATACTTACCGTATTTAGTATTGGAAGAATCCTGAGGGATTATATTACCAGTACCAAATATAGTGTTGAATAAATTTGCCTGAATAAATTGTAAAATACAGCTCTGTCCTGTGATCTCCATATTGCAATTGTTTTGCAAGGCACAAGTGACTGGGGGCAATCCCTGCATGGCCTTTATCATGAACTCCTTCCACTTAATAAACCCGTATGCCCTACCCTCGTACCGTTTCCCTCCATATTCTGCAATGGCCTGCTAGGACCTGGCAGTCAGTTCCTCACTACGCTGGTCGAGTACTTGGCTAACCCTCCATGGGAATCAGTCCCCATGTAATTTTGCACATCTTCATTCCCATTCACTGATAAAGCTATCCATTTTATCTGTTCAAGTCAAAGCCCACGGGGACAGGAATGTTAGATGCATTTGTCATCGGAATGTAACTTTACTCAAATGTAGTCCAATTCTGACTGCCACATATAATGAATGCATGTTGTTCTTGGTGTGGTCTGTTGATCCTGGGACTGAGGTCTTTATCATGGAGAAGACACAGGA